TTTCTGGTTTCAGAGCATTTAAGTAAAAACAAATTAGAATTAAAATATATTTATCTATAATAATTTATCTTGGTGCAAAAATGCAGTAATGTCACAGTTTAACTGAACAAATGCATGGCAATATGCCAGAAGACTGGATGTAGTAGCATACTGAAGTGACCTCATACAACCCTACTATATAGGAAATGCATCACAAACACTGTACAAGCTGCAAATATCAAGCAACTATGAAAATGTAAGACATTTAAATGTGTATGCATTGCAAAAACAATTGCACTAAATGCACAGTGCATTAGATTCCTTGATAAATATAGATCAAATATCTCTGTGCAGTTCTTACCTGACCAACCTGCAGTGACTGAAGCATTCATGCAGCCCTCTTCTGGTATTGTTTATCCCCTGCAGTCTCACCTCTCCAGTTTCCTCTCCTCAGTGTGTAAGGCCTGAGGTGAAACCCAGTGCAGGCAGAGAGCACCCTTATAAGTAGTACCTGCAGCGGTGTCAGCCTGCGACCCCGGACCAATGGGAAGAAAACATGTGCAAAGGACCATCTGCAATGGAAAAACAAATCCTGTAAAAGATTTTGTGGATTTTGCTGCACGGGGGAATGGTGTCCAGCTGCCCTGAGTCTTAGTGACAGATGCTTTCTCTCCCTCTCACTTGGCTAGCATGCACGTTCCTCTGTATCCTCCAGTGGCCTCAAATACTCTAAACCTGGATGCTCCTTCACCCTCCACCCACAAAACACTTTATTTTAACTTTCATTAAATGTGAATTATACTTTTTCAACTGTTAAATGCTATTGTTTATTTTGCAAGCTATGGCACTGTTTACACATCATATTCCGTAGATATTCTGGCAAGACAATTGTGGGAATATCTCAGTTTGTCATACCAACAACACGCAGCTGATTAAATAAAAGTGTATTTCAGAAGTACAAGCAATCACCAGTACTACCTAATGGCTTCTACGGATTAAGGACAGTGAAAGGTCTTTGCGATAACATGCTTAGGCCAGATTTCAGGAATACAAGTGATAAGAAGTGAAGCCAGATCTCATTTACAGCTCTAAGTTGTCATGTTCATTTGAACTGAACTGAATGTCATAGCCAAAAGCTTTTGGTCTGACTTACATGCCTAACTACATTACTCACTTTGTCTCTAATCTGTCTAGTGCTGTAAGCCCTCTACGAGCTTTGTAGGTAGACACCTGTAACTTTTATTTTCGTGCCATTCTTTCTTTCATTCAACTCTACAGCTTTCTTCAGCCCTACAGAGAGTCTACCTCGGATCATGTTGTTGTCATGTTGTTACACCAAAACCTGTGACCTTACTAGGAATTTCAGCTATATTGCTACTGCATATGTTTTTAATCATACTTTTTTACATACTTTGTTCTAATAGCTGTTATCAACCATGGTACCTCAATAGGATTTAGATAGCAACACTGATGATTTTTTTTCTGTGATGCCTGTGACACTAGACTATTAACTTCATGAAAAAGGCCAAAGGGTTGACCAGGTATTGACAGTTAGAGCTCCACAGACGGACCTGGCACACAACTTCACTTTAAAGTTGTTTGTAGCTGCAGCTGCCCAGCACCAAACAACAGAGTTGCAAACAAGGTTTGCAGCTAGATACTTAACATAGTGGAGTATTCAGCAGCTGAAGAGACACTTCCCTCAGGAATTGGTGAAGGCCAAAAAGAGCTCAAATGAGAGTGAATATTTGTCAACTGTCTGCTAATGCATTAGCAACTAGATAATGCTATTGCATGTCAATTGTGTGTTTTCAGATTGTTCTGCTGCCCACAAGTGGCCAAAGTAATCAGTTTATCCAGCTTTCATTCTCATTCACCTTTCAGAGAACAGCTTTACATGTTAATCCTCTGGTCAACATACCTCTTACTGTTGAAGACGTTTTCAGTATAAACTGTATATATTTATATATATTTTTATATATATATAATAATATGAGTATTTTATATACTCATATATATTATGGTTGAATGAATGAATACTTGTAAATACTCTTCAGCTTATTTTGTGTCAATTATTTAGTGTCTTTCATGTCATTCATAGTTTTGCAGTTAAAGCTTTCAACAAAGACTGTAATTTTGACTTTACAGATGTCATGGGTAATCAAAATAATAATTGGGCATTGTGTAAATTGTGTAACTGTAATTCCAAAAAGGATCATTCAAATGAATTTATGGAAATACCAAACATAAATGTCTTACACAGTCAAATAAGACAGGATTTGCTGCTTCACCTTTAATCCCCTCCCATTGATAATCTTGAGTCAAGTCTGTGTTGGATTCTCTCTGCAGTCAGATGAAGCATATGGCTCCAGCATCTGTGGGCCCATTTACATCCAAGACTTTCCTGCTTGGCTGCTACAGCAGCGGCTATATTAGGACTAAAGCCCACGACTTTCATTGACAAAATCTGATTTAACCATTGGCCGTATGTTCTCAATGGACTCTTGCCTTGGTCCAGGTCACCAACTGTTCAGACTTTGACTCAGCTTTCATTGTTGCTGTGAAGTAAAACTGCTTCGTGTCTGTGGACTTTCTGTTTTCTGATAGAGAAACAAAGTCTGTCAATAACAAAATCAAACTCTTGTGGTAACTTGTGCTATTTTACTCATTTTGTCACTATGGTAAGTACTATTAGATTTATTTACATTTATTTACATTATATTTAAATAAATATTATATTTTATTTACATTTATTATTTACAGTGTATGTCTAATAATGACAGCTGTTACATTTTGTGGTCTACCTTGTGACCAATTAACAATTAACAATTATCAATGTTAATATAAAGATGCTCCTTTAGTTGGTCAGCAACTAAAACACATTTTCTTTTTAGTATCTGTGGTATGCCATGCAGATACATTTTGAAAATGTGACATATTAATTTGTTAATTTTTGTACAAAAACAATTGTTTTAAAGTCCACAAATGTTTTTCTAATTGCTGTCATTGTGCTAGGGTGATGGCAGACATTTCAGGTATGGATATCTCAAAATCTCAACACATAAAAACTATAAATTATATGGACAACTAAATACAAGAGGTGTGAGTGAGTCTATTTTTAATATAAGGGAATCATAAATAAAAAATATTTTTGTCCCCAAACTGACAGACTTGTCTGGAGACCACACACATTTTAGAGGAACATGGAGAAGCCTCCTGGCACTTATGGACTGCACACTCAACATTATTAAGACTATTACATTTGCACAGCTGACTCACACATTCTGTACCAGTGGCATCAGTTCAACACACATTAAGGTCTCCCAAACATGCTTATAACAAACACTCGCAAGACGCTAGTGGAACTTTTCAAACTGTAAGTTAACCACAAAACGAAAGCATGATCCCCAGTGAACTGCCAACACTACAAATACAGAAGATCAATGAATAACACAGACAGAGGTAATGACACTGGAGCCAGCAAATGCCTTAAACCATATTCAAACCCCTTCTGGAAAATGAATTACACATGAACCTTGAAACAGAGATGAGCTAGTGCATTATATAACACAATAAACAACACATAAGAAATACACAAAATGATCATAAAGTACTACCTCGCCTCTGGTTTAACTTGAATGTAAATGATCCAGCCACCGACAGTTCACCATTCAAATGGTACAAAACATTTAAGAGAGCAATAATTTGTTAATCAACTGTACTGTAAGAACAGTAGTGTCTGCACTTTCAAAAAACACTTTGAGAAAGACTGTTATTGACCTCTTCTGTTGGAAAAGGAATTGAAACTCGTGGAGGTCACAGGCAGCATTTTCCCAGCAAAAGGTTAAGACGGTAACCAATCATAGCCAAAATCCAAACAACTATGTGACGATAGAGACTCAATGTAAAACAGACACTGCTTTATTATTTGTTATTTATAGCAACCATAGAGGGCATGGACAAACTACGAGCATGGTCAGATTCACCTGTTAGAAAGGCAAAAACTTGATGCTGGTCCTTATTGAACCCTCACCTGCCGCCCTCTGTACATTGTGTGTGCACATTGTTGCCTCCGAGTTCCTATTACACACAACAGACAACACATGGCAGCGTCATATACACAGAAACTGAGAACAATTGATACTCTCTATGTGCCAAATACTCAGAATTTGATTAAACTCAAATTCATTAAACAATATGAGAACACTGTGAACCGTGTTAGAACCATAGACTTTGACACAGGGCCCTACTAAAAGACATGGTCATAAGACTCAGTATTGCAAATAATAGACCTGATTAAGTTGATGTTGTACTTTAGTGGTGCAAATTCTCACAACAAATTTAAAATGACTTAAATTATTAACACGCAGAATTGTAGGACCCTAAGAGTCTGAGGCCCGCCGCAGTCCTTTAATCTAAGACCAACCTTATATTTTCTTAGTGTATCATATTGCTATTATTAAATGTGATTTATATTAAAGGTACATTAAAGGTATGTTCTCTATTAGAAATCTAATATTGTAGACCTGTGGCACTGGTCCTGGTCCTGAGCTGCAGACGGAACTCCAGTCCAGGTTTTGTGGTGGATTTTAGTGGTAAGGCGCAGCAATCTGCAGCATCCCCACACGTAGCCAGCCACACACGCTGTCCGAGAGGCTGCTATGAAGTTACACCATTAAAGTAAACAAAAACATTTATAGATAGATTATCCCAATTACTAGATAGGAACGCACTTTATATAGACACAGCCATGTCCATACAAGTATTTTATAAACATATGCATGCTGTAATGTCTTTATATAACTATATCGCTGTAAATGCATTTGTGTTTGCTTACAAACAAAAGAGGAGAGGAATTGAACATATATATATATATATATATATCAGCCTGGGTGGATAACGTGTGGCTAACTTTGAGGGGAAAAATGAAGCAGCGTGGTCCTTTTTCAAGAAAAACAAAAAGTGAACTTCCTGTTTCGGGGTGGTCCACAGACTGTGGAGAAAGGGAGGGAGGAGGGAGGAAGAGAAGGGGGTGCGCATTCCCACATTGGCTGTGTAACCAACTCTAGGGCGCTTTGCGGGACTCCATAGCCGAACATGGGGTTCAATTTTGTCACCGTTTGCGTAAAGTGACTCTGAAGAAAAAAGTCTATGGAAAAGCGCTTCTGAAACGGGATAAAGTGTCGGTTTCTGTGCAGAATTCAGTCATCTCCATCCGAGTGCGTCTGCCAGGGAGCAGAGAGAAAGAGAGAAAGAGAGAGAGAGAGAAGGGAGGCTTTACTGGAAACTCAGACTTTCACAGTCCTTGTACACTCTGAGCTCTTCCAAGGGACTGGGAATCGAGTCAAAAAGTTTCATGCTGAATATTCCTGCATTAACCTGAGGTAAGCAGTGCTGATGATTCATACTCGCTTTTGAAATCACAGGCGATCATTGATAAATAACAAATTACATGTTTATTCATGATCGGAAAAGTTTTGTGTTTAATTGTTCGGCAGTATAATAAGCACTTTAATGCTTTCTTAAGTGGTAAAAACTGTGCTATTAGTGATGGTAAGACTGTTTTGGCTTTCTCCCTCCAGGTGATTGTGCATGAGTTTTACGCTTTGGCAGAATTGACTTAAATGAATTGACTGGTTTACATTTCCTGTTCGCTCACCATTTCTGTGATTAAGTTGCATGATATTTCTACTAACAAACCGACCAAAATGTGGAACGCTTCAGCCACTGTGATTTGCCGGTTTTTGTGGATTCATTCACTTGGTTCCTCCTCAGCGCTTTTGGGGAGATGTGTAGAATAGTCTGGCACGGACTAAAGTTTGCCAGAGTTTAGCCGTCAGAAAATGTAAGTTTCCCCTCCTTTACGCTCATCTCCTGGAGAAATGCTTCTTCTATGGGTCTGACTACAAGCATAGTTTAAAATCATCTGGCACAACCCAGGGTGGCAGGGTCACCGGAGAGCAGCTGTTTCTTGTAACCTGAAATACTTGAGGTGCCAATATCTTTTCCAAATGTGAGTTTCTGTCAGGACACCCACAAAACAACATCATCAGTGAAGCACTGTGTGAGGCTTCAGGAGGCAGAAAGCTCCCGTAAAAGCAGTCAGCGCATTGTTTCCTCTCATTGCTGAATATCTCTCCTTCTTTTGGACTAAAAAACAACAACAGTGAAGCCTTCTATAATCTATCTCATGCATTGAAGCCTTCCATAATCTATCTCTAACCTGAGATAGATTATTGGATCTAATCTAATTACCTCTGTAGAAGTTGACTGTAGCTGTTAATGTGGGAAGATTAGGCTGCTGGGCTTCATGTAGTGGCGCTGGACTGAAGAGCGTCAACACTGGACTCAATAGAACAGCCAAATACTTATTTATTCCAAAGTGACAGTGAGAAGTGCTAAGCACACAAACTCACAACCTCCCTAAACAGTATTTGCTCAGACACACTCACATACACATAGAGAGTCAGTCACAAAGGCTCTTTAGTGGATCTCCAAAAACGTGAGAGGGAAAGACAATGATGTATTTGGAAGTGTAGATTATCTACCAAATAATTGTTATATATATTTTTTTAATTGATTACACTGGACAAGAGGGGGAAAAAATATAATCAGAGTTTGTGATGTTTTGTTAAACTTATCTTCGTGAGTTTCTGTGTGTCGAGAAGCCTCAGACATTTTGTTCGATTGCACGAAAACAGAAAATGTAGTCAAGCAACCATTCCAGTGCAGCGTGGATTCAGTTCCTTGAATATAATCCATAACAGAGAAACACTAGGACCCTTCTCAAGGTTGTGACGGGGGAGCATTTCGAGGGAGGAAAGTGCACTTGTCCTTTGGCCACGTGTGAAAAGCTCTGCAGGGGAGCTTCCTCGCCCTCCCTGGTCTTTATCAAGTGTGTTAAGGCCAAAAGGCTCCTTAATGGGAATGCTCTTAAACAAATAAACCATACAGGAAGCAACTGTCCTCCTATCCAGTCACAGGAGAGGACGGTTCTGGTTTATCACCAGCATATCAGAGTGGTGATAAGTCTCTATTATCAGGCTGAATACAATTCTCCCATTAGGCCAGTATAAACAAAGGTAGGTGGAGGATTTTCAGGTGGATTGTATGTTATAATCTGTGCTCCTTATGTAACCTTAATACTGAGGCGATTTAAGCGATGACAGTTCGTTAAGAGATGTGTGAGAGCAAAGTCTGGAATATGAAATGTCTCAACATGGACTCCTTGTAGCTCTGTCACATTAATGATGTAGACAATGTGTTTAATTTCTGTGTTGGCACTATAAGCCGCCAGTTATGTGACACAAGGGGTACCCAGAGGCACGCAGCAACAAGTGGTGTGTTTTTGTCCAGATTCCATTTTGGTCCGCTCAGCAAGAAACATGCGTCACGTGATGCCTGTAACCCCCCCCCCCC